CCCCCCCCCCCCCCAGAGGTAAAATGAAGAGAATTGTCTTCCAGTTCACTCCATATAGCTGGGTCAAATTTGAGTGGAAGCCAGCATCAAGCCTGCGCAGATGGCTAGCAGTTTGTGGCATCATTTTCATAGTAAGGAAGCATTGTGCTTTTTAATTGATCAGATGACTGTCCATCTCTTGGAACACCAAGTTCTGTTAGACTCTTTCACAGTAATGTTTGCGTAAATTATAGATGTAAGTAATTTAACATGCAACCTATGCTTAGGTAAATTAATAAAGGCTGCCACTCAAAATGCAGATTTCACATAAGTCAGTGTTACTCCCCATTTCCCAGGGAGATACCTACCAATTGAAAATTGAAATGGCTCCGAGTCAAAACCTTAAAGCTCAGCATTTCAGGACTGGGCAGTATCTGATCTTTTGTCTCATGTCTGTTTCTCTAACACCAGGGATAATTAAAGTAGTATTATATGCTACCTAAACATTTTGATGTTGGTTGGTATGAGGCAGAGTGTTATGTAGTTTTTGTTTTCAAGGATAGTATAGTTAACCCAGATCAGTCCCAAGTTAGTGAAAAAGTGCAAAGGGCATTTTAAATGCTTTTGATGTTTTCTGAAAATACAAGCATGTTAGCTACTACTTTATATATGTATGTATGTGTGTGTGACATCTAACATTATGCCACAACTTAGAATTGCATACTGATCAAATGTAGATTTTACGTATGTTATATGATATAATATACTGTAGTAAATTATGGTGTGTGTGTGTGTGTGTGTGCGCACATACATGCGTACACACACACACTCATATATCTGTACATTTGATCAGCATGCTATTCTAATATGTGGCTTAATCACTTTTGAAATTAGGAGACAGTGAATGATTGTCATGAAAAGATTTGTCAACTCTTTCAAGGGTTGCCAGTCAACCCTTTTTAATCCATTTAGCATTGTGCAGTTTATCAGTCAGCCTGGCACAACATGTTGATAAGAGGATGTCTTTAAATTGATCATGGGAAAAGTTAAATTGCAGGTGCTAAGGAACAATATGTTATCTGTAGCAATTAAGTAGTGTGTGGGATTGTCAACAGCACAGGCTTACAGTTTGCATGAAAGGAACCAATCAGTTGAATGAAGGCTCCTTAGTATCAAACTTCTCTTTCCAGACATTAATTCTTGTGCCAAAATAGACTTTTTGAAATTGTAGTAAATTGTATAGAAAGGCTCAGTAAAAATAGCAGTATTAAAATAATGTGAATGATTTTCAAATAACCTTCCACCAGACTTGCACGCAACTTCTACGCACAGTTGAATCAATTTACCAGTTAGCTGAATCTGAAGCATGAAGGAGCTGACAATTTCATATTGATCTGGGGTGATTACAGTGATTGTTTCATGGCAGCTGTTTTGTGGTTTATAAAATTTTATTTAGCTGACTAAGTAGTAGTAGTGTTTAAATAAAAGGTAAGATATAAATACTTTTATTCAGAATAAAAAAAATGCTTATACTTCTCAACCGTAACCAAAATGTTGAGCCCTCTCCCCCCGCCAGCATCCCCTCATTCTGCCACTTGAAACCTCAGTTCATCTAAGAACCATGTTCATTAAATGCCTAATTCTTGTTACAAGTATCCAGGCTGTAGCTATATTGGTCTGAAGGAAAAGGCAATCAGGACTCATAGTAGAGATGATATTTTTTATTAGACCAACAAGATTTTTGCAAAAAAATCTTTAATTGCAAGCTTTTGGGCACAAACACCCTTCATCAGGCATTGGAGAAAAGAATGTAAAAGTTCTCCTGGGTAGAAATGAAAGTTCATATTTCATAGGATTCCACAGAGGAGGCAATAGATGGAAAACTCTTCTGGGCAGTCTGTTCATAGCTGGTATGGAGCTTCTCATCTCCTGTGAGGATCTGCTATGAGTTCTGATTGCCTAATTCTTGTTACTGAGCTGAGGTTTCATCAATGCTGTTTGTATAGTGCACAAAGCTCAATTGCTTGCTTATACTTTTCGAATCCACCAGCCCTGAGATTTCTTAAGGGTTAAGTCACCAAATGAACATCCTTAGAATTGGATATAAGGCTGTTTCCATGCTTTACCAGTGCCATGTACCTGACACACTAATACAAAAAAAAAGGTCCCACACTACATCCCAAATAAATTTTAAGTTTAGTTTTTTTTCTGATTCCTGCATCATATAACAGTGGACACAGCAGGACCGTATATAGACTGAAATCTTATGGAGCCTTAGAAAGCTGAAAGTAATTTTAGCTTCAGATTTGTGCGGTTTTTTGGTTCAAATTTCATTTTTTTCAGTAACTACAGAACAGAAAATCTGAGGAAGAACATTTTCCACACTTTTCCTTCTGACTTATTTGTCCTGCCAGCCTTATTCTCTGTCTTTTATCTAAAGTTCCACAGCTACTAGGACCACTGGGAATCTAGGGTCTAGCTTTAAGACTAACTTGTTCAGGTATCAGTAGAAGTCTAGACTTTGCAGCAGAGAGCTCAGCATAGTCCGACATGTCTGCCTGAGATGCTAGGTAAAATAGTACCAGCTAAGCTCTGTGCTGATGCAACTAGTAACAATGCCTGCCTAGATTAAAGCTACCTTGGGTATGCAGTCATGGTTATCACAGAGCAGATATACCCTGTGAGGGCTTTAATGCACTTCGGCATAATCCGCTTCAGTGATGATTCTTCTGGGATGTTTTTTTCTATAGGCAAGTTCTTATGCTTGGGCATAGCTTACATGTACTGGGGAAGGTAGAAGGGCACACAGTGCTTCCCTGCCATCATTTAAATTCAGTTAACTTATGGTTTATCGTAGGAAAGTTCTGATACTTCTTCCTGATCTGTTTGCTCCTAGCTGTCCCTCCTCTCTGTTGTTCATAGCAGCCCGGGTAGGAACTTCCAAAGCGAGATATTTCCTTCTCCTGTTCTCTCAGACCTTTTCTAGTAACTAATCTTGGAGGCCGAGACTATCAAGCCAGTCACTGTTAGCCTTAGTGGGTTTCCAATTTCTAGCCTGAAATTCTGGGCCTGTTGGAACTAATGGGAGTTTTGCCATTAGGTTCTAGTGGAGCTGTTCATCTCCAGTCTGGAACTTAAGTACATTTGTCATCATTTGGCATTTTCAACAGTGCTTCAAGATTTGATCAAAACGTAATGTTGCCTAATGCAAAGCAGATAATGAGCACACTTTCTGCTTCTTATCATTAAATGACCCACCCCATACAAGCTTAAGTACAAACTTTCAGAAATAAATGGGGGTATCTAGGTTTCATGCAGTGAAGCCTTTTGAACTAAATTATTGAAATGTTCTTTTCTCTCAGTTTTTATTGGCAGAGCTGAACACATTTTACTTGAAGTTTGTCCTGTGGATGCCACCAGAGCACTACTTGGTCCTGTTGCGACTTGTCTTCTTTGTCAATGTGGGAGGTGTAGCCATGAGGGAGATCTACGATTTCATGGACGACCCGTAAGCCATTTCCATTGTATATGCCATGCAGAGCTTCAGCTGTTTTGTTTTTACTTAGCTCTGGTTTGCTGCAGTTTGTTGACACAAGCACCATAGCAGTAGATCAGCCTGGCAGTGGCAAAGAAGCCAGCAGTCCAAAGCACTTGCTTTGTTCCTATTGCTTTAAAGGTAAAATTAAAAAAAACCCACACATTCCCTCTTGCAAATTGCATGTGGCTAGTTGGCAAGTGATGGCATAGGCCATTTTATGCAAGTGCTTTTAAATTTCAGTCTTTCTTAAAATTAGCCTTTTCTTTGAGACTGCAAATGTGTGAATTAGCTGAATTGGCTTTTACTTAAAACTGCACTTTGTCTTACAGCCTGATTCTAGAGTCCTTAGACATACCTTCCAAGGATGACAAGGTCTGGCCCCAAGCCCTTTTTGTTAAAGGATGTTTCTTTCTTGAGTTATCTTCCAACAGGTCTGTGGTCCCCTGGTGCTTTTGTAACACCACTTTGTAAACCAGATAACCCTTTTACTGATGCCTATTAAAACAATGTACATCTGTATACAACAGTGCATGTGCTATCAGAGTGCTCCTACTTAAACATCACATTTGTCCTTGCTGCTTTTGTTTCTTCAGTCTGTAGGACTTGAGAATGCTTTTAGTTCTCAAAATCACGTTTTCTGTTAAGGTTCAGTAGTAATGTCACAGACTGCCTACGTACCTCACATATTAAGGCTATGATCACCTTTGGTCTCAAGGGATATTTTGGTTGTCACTGACCACCACAAAAGTGTCTGTGTTTAGAATTTAGGGTTCCAACCTTCTCTGAAGATCAGTTTCACTTTCAAGAATCTGACTCCTAGAGCTGGGAAGAAAGTTTAGCACACATTACTTAGTCAGATTTCAGGATATTCAGCAGTGACAGGCCATCCCCTTCCCCCTGGTGCTGGGCTTATTGGTTTGGGACATGCCTCCAACTCAAAGGTAAGAAGAGATCTCTACCTCTTACTGGTGAGCTCCTCTCCTTGGCATCACTCCCCATCTTCTGAACCCTTGTTTGGATTGAAAACACTATTCTTTTGCCCTCTGATCAACCACATGGGGCATAACATTGAAATTTAGAAGCCTCATTAGTCACTGGGGCATCATTGCTGATCTTGTTTGTTACCATTATTTCAGTGAAATGAAGAATTAATTCAGTGAACAGAGAAACTCCATTTGGGTTTCATATCACCACTGCTACCACTATCATCTTCCTTTTTTGCTTTTCTTGGTAGATGAGGTGATGGGCATCCTTGGTCTTGAATTTCATGGTTCTGCTGATTTATTAGCAGATTTGAGCTGGGGTCTTCGTTGAAGGCTGGTGAATTATGCAACTGATACCTTCTGCCTGCTTAATCTTGGTGACTGGAGCTGGTTCCTTAATACATTTCATGTCATTAGACCAGAGACTACTTTTTTTTTTACCACCCAGCTGGTGTTTAGACCATTTCTAAATCATTTTGAATGAAGAAACTGGTGGAACCTTCATATTTTGACTTCCAGGGAGAAACTGTTGGGGAGCAGCTGACTCTGCTCAACACTCATTGCAAATGTCCATTCTTTTCCCTTGAGAAATTGTTGAGGCCTTCAAATTAAGAGCCAAAAACTTAGGATACTCCATTGGCCCTCTTATGTGAATTGTAATCAGGATGTCTTATATGTGACTAGACAATCAGAAAGCCAGCCAAAGATATTGAACTATTTTCTCTAGTCCTACAATATTTATTACAGGAACTAAAGAAGTTCCAAACAAAAGTTGTTAACTTTTCTCCTTCAAGGCACTTGCGGTCTCAGTAGCCACTTTTAGGACTAAAATTGGGTGGAATTTAATCTGAGCCTGCTAATAAAGCATCTAGAATTTGTTAATGCGCCAGGGATTGTAACATACTGGTGCTGAGGATTTTGTCAGACCTTGGTAATCCATTTCTCCAACCATGATCCATATGTTTCCACTGTCTGAGTTCAAAAGGACTTGGTATGCTCAGTGCTTCCTTGGGGAATCTTCCAGTGTAATGAAATCTGCTGCTGGGCCCGTGAGACCTGTATTGGATCCCTGTAGGTCTGTCTGGTTTCAGGTGTCAGGCCTTTTTCAGAAAGCCAAGAACAGGGCCATGGATTTTATGTTTGGTCTTGTAGGGAAAATGACTTCTCTAAAATACTTTTCCAAATGAAGGCCAGTGCAATGACCTTGTATTTTTAAAACATTCTTAGGGTTTGCATGGCATTTTCATCTTGTTATAGCTGGGACTTTTCCTTCTCTTTTTTTTTCTTAATTCTCTCTCTCACAAGCAGGCTCACTAAAACTTTCATTATAATCAAGGCAGATTATAAACAGATTTTATCCTCTGAACAGGAGTTTGGTTGTAAAGATTTTGAATTACCTTTTGTTTCTGTCCTTCTATTTGTCAGATTCTTATCTTCTTTTTAACCATTTCAAAATGCAAAAATCCTTGGTCTGAGGGTCTAGTGAGAAGGTTTTTCTTGAAATTGGAGTGTCTCTCCAATCCCATTTGCATCACACAGTAATTAATGCTATGCTTATCCTGTCTTGTTCCCAAGTATACTCAGATCATCATGTATAACTTGAGCTAAAACAATGGTATCAAACATGTAGCTCTTAGGTGCCACGTCATTAAGAAAATGTGCATTAGAGTAGTGAAGTGGTGTTTAAACTGTACTATTTAAAACCTTTAAATGGTTTTAAAAGTGGCTTTCAGACTTTTTTCATTGAGGAACCCTTTGCAAATTTTGAATGGAGATGTGGAACCCTTTGAATTGCAAGTGTGGGTATTCATGTACTTTTGATTGATCGTAGTGATCTTTTGTGGACCCTGGTCCATGGACTACATGTTGAAAACCACTGATTTAAATCATCCCCTGCTTCTACAAGAAACAGTAAAGGAGCCTTTCCAACTGCTTCCCATAGCTTCTCCTGTTCCTTTTGTTATAATGTGGAAATCCTCTGGGGCTGCTATCCATATTCCCTGTTGCAGCTGTTCAGCAGCAATCCCATTAATCACCTGCTGTATCAGAAAGGAGGGAGGAGAATGTTTCTGGCTACTCTATTTTTCTGGTTCTCTGCTGGAAAATGAAACACTCCAAGGGAACATGATAGTTAAAGTAGATGTCCCTGGGTGAACCTATTAAAGAACTGATCTTTTCCCATACACAGCCAATGACATTCTACAGGAGAGGGAAGCAAAGTAAGGAACAAATATCCAGTTATGACATCCTGATTCTCTGCTGAATCACAGTTAAAGCAGCCTGTGGTTATTCTAATTTGAACTAGCTGGGTGCTGGCAGATCAGGGTTGTCACATATTTCCACTCTGCTATTATGCACACTTAGCAGGTAGGAAGGATAGCAGTCAGTTCCATTAGCCTTATACCCCTGGGGCTGAAGGAAAGCCACAGTGATTCCAGTCTTCTTTCCACTACTTGACAGAACTGATCAGAGAATCTGCCCCCAAATATTGTGTGGCTACTTAACTTATACTTTCTCGAAATCTGTTCAGTGCTACAGCTAATCAAGCTGAATGCCAAGGAATTTAAGAGGCACAGCAGTCATGAGTAAGGCTAGACATTCCTGTTGCCTAGGTGTCCAAAGGACCACAGTGAGAAGCACCTTAATCATCCTGACGTGTTCATTTCCCCCTTCCCCAACATGGTGTAGATTTCTAGCTCCTGTTTTCCCACATTGCACCCTGTCTCCTCCACCCTGCCTCAGTAGTTGTATTGCCTTATGCTGTGCCTCCTCATAGTTAAGTTTCACTCTGCAACTTGTATTGCACTTGGAATGGGCTATTGTAGAGAAACTGGGCAAAGGAATAAAGTGTGTAGGAATGTAACATAGCATGGAGGAGAGAAATGAGCAAGAGGGGAAGCCACCAGCAGAAAAGATGGCTGGTGAAGAAGAATGGTAACTAAGATAAAAGCAGAGGTCAACTGCATGATGAAAATAAGGAGTCAGAAGTAACAGAGACACATGCATTAGGGCAAGGGATTAGCAATGTACAGCCTGCAGGCCAGATCTGGCTTATGGAGCCACTGGATCTGGCCCATGAAGCTGCAGGGCTGTGCCCATGCTTGCACTGGGACTGAGCAGCTGTTCTGGTGTTGGAGGGGTGGTGCAGGGGCAAGGGAGAACCAGCAGCAACATGGAAGCATTTTGCTGTTCCCTGGTCCCAGTGCAGCTACCCTCTGTCTGGGAGCTATACTCACTGCAGCTAGAAGAAGCGACACTGGTACAGCTTCCAAAGCCATACAGCTGGGGAGGCTCAGGAAAAGTTGTCCCCATGCTGTTCCCTGCCCTCCAACCCCCTACCCACAAAGCTACCTGGCCTGCACTGGACTGGGGCTATGTTGTTCCTAGTCTATGGCATGGAAAGGTTGCTGACCTCTGAATTAGGGTTTAGATTAGTGATTTTGGTTTTTTTTCAGTTGTTTTGGGACACTTGTTAAAGAATCACTAACTTTATTTTAGAAGTGTAGGAGGTAGTGTGAGGGTTGACTTTAACTGGGGAGGAGAGGAAGGAAGTTAATTCTCAGAAAAATGTAGAAAGCCCAAAGCCATTTGGCAAGGCTAGAGCCATGTTGGAAGGTGAGTAAAAAACTTGCTGACTGAAGTAGCTGGTATGGGTATTGCTCCTCCAAAGAAGGATATTCAGTCTCACTTGATTTGAGTCAAGTGGTTACTCATTGTTGCATGTCTAATCTTTAAACAGGCTCTCTGAAATTGGATACTCACCAACTCGAAACTTCTAGTATGTTTCTCTTAGCCCTCTCCACAAGCGGGCACAAAGTCATATCTTGGATTTGTGGCATTTAGACTGGGGCTGCTCGGTACCAGTAAACTTTTTTGGTTGGCAGAGTGTGAAGTGAACTGGTGTTATATGCTGTTTCCACATGAGATATTGAGGCAGCCAAAGGTGAGAGAGGGTTCCAAATGCAATACAAGAAGTAAAGAATACCACGTGCCTAATAAACTGCATTTGATACAACTTAACATTTCCAGACTCTCCCAGGTAGGGCATAAATTGTCATCATTTTGGAGTCAGTGACCCTTCAGACTAAGTACAGAGAGTCAAAAAGCTTGAGGCTGAATCTATTCAATCTTTGCAGGTTAGTTTAAGCTCCGTATATTGAACCAGTAAACAAGTGAACAGACATTCACTTTTGATTCCAGCAATGCAACCATATGCCTGCAGTGGCTTGGGCCAGAAGCCACTCAGGCCAAGGCTAGCCCGCCCACCCTGCAAGGTGGGTTTTGTAAGGGAGATGTAAAACATCCTAGGATTCCGGTGGACTATGAGTTAACTTGAATCTGGAGAGGATCCAGGACAGAAGTTCAATAAACCAATTTAACCTGAATCAGTTAAGTCTGATACTACATTCAGGTTGATCTTAAACAGGTTTAAGCCATTTTGAAAGTGGTTTATGTGCACTGAATTTCTGTAGTGTTACAGATTTCAGCCAGCTTCTGATCACCTGTACCAGTTTGTGTAATTTCTGTCCCAGAGCAGACCAGCTGGAATCCACATGCACAGCCCCAACCCCAGCCTGCCCTGTGCCTGCTCCAGACCATGTGCCTATGCTGAGAAGCAGCTGTGGAGAAGCTGCTGCTTGGTGCAGGGAACAAGCAGCCCCTTCCCCTCATCGCTGCAAGGGCCTTCTTGCTGCAGCTGCTCAGAGTCTTCGCCTGGGCTGGCCTGTGGCTCCTCTCTGCTGCTGTCACCACCCCCTCTGGGCTGCACAACAGGGCAGCGGTGGCAATGCAGAGGAGCCACAGGGCAGCCCAGGTCTGACTCTGGGCACCTGCAGCAAGAAGGGCCCTGCAGCGATAAGGGGAGGGGCCACTTTTCCTCATGCCAAGCAGCAGCAGCAGCAGCTGCTCAGCCACTACTACAACTCATTGTGGACGGCCGGTCCAAAATAGGTGTGGGGTGGGGTGGGCTGGGGTTGGGGCTGTGTGGGCAAGTTCTGGCTGGCCCACTCCAGCTGGGGTGAGTCCAGAATGGGCGTGGGCCAGGCCAGGGCTGGGGCTGTGTGTGTGGGTCCCCAGCCGTACCAGGGGGCTGTGGCCAGCAGCAGCAGCAACCAGAAGGACCCACCACCACCTGGGCTGCCTAGAAATGTAGTCCAGCTGCTGAACCTCTGCAGCCATACTGAATGCCCAGGTGAGATGTGCCATGGGTGCCTGGGCCAGGTAGGGCCAAGGGATCCGCTACAGGCCAGACATAGTCCCCATATTTTGCCCATCCATGGTTTAGAACCTCTGAAAGGAGGAGTAGATGAGAACAAAATGACATTAGTGTGAAAATATATTAGCATGCTTGTTCTTGATATGTGTGTAATCAAAAGTAGACTTCCACAGTAGCATAAAGGTAAATTTATATATTTCTACCCTATCTTTCCTTTGGTAAAGGAATATTATATTGAATATTTATCATTGAAATACCGTTTAATCTCTATTGCAGGAAGTTCTACAAGAAGCTGGGTCAGCAGGCATGGTTGGTTGCTGCTATCACAGCCACAGAGTTTCTGATAGTTGTAAAATATGACCCCTACACCCTCACACTGTCACTTCCCTTCTACATTACTCAGTGCTGGATCCTTGGAATCATACTTGTGCTCACATGGACGATGTGGCGCTTTTTCATTCGGTAAGCAAAAGCGATTGAGCTCTGATTCACATGAACAGGAGTACCCCAAAATTAGGCCTAGCTAGGGCATATGAACAGCCACTTAAAGTGGAATAAAAGATCTTCAAAGCACATCTTCCTAAAATGTTATGTAATGTTGAGATTTCAGGGGAAATATATTTTGCTAAATCGCCTCCTTGAAGATGAGTAGTAAAAATGTTGTTCATGAGTTTTGATTATGTCTTTTTACATGAGCAGTTAGGGCTAAGCAAAGCTTCAGTCCCTGATTCAGTTCGGCAGAGATTCAGCCCAATTCAGTGGCTGAATCTCCAAATCCGAACTGAATCAGAGGACCCCTTAATCTCTCTGAATCGAATCGGAGCCCTCTGAATTGATTCGGAGAGATCTGGCGATTCGGACACAGACACAACTTTAAATGTTTTTTCTACGTACCTCTAGGTAGCAGGTGGCTTGTGAACGCTGCGATGCTGGGGCACATGGAGTGTCCCACAGGAGCACGGGGGCGCTCCTCAGTGCGCTTGGCAGCAGACCTGGAAGTGGATCAGAAACGCTTCCGGGTCCACCAGGGAGTGCACTGGGCCCCCCCATACCGCTTGGCTCAGCAACTGGTGCCTCCTGGGTCAGGAGATGGGGGGCACCCGGGGTCCCCCTGTGGCCAATTGCCGAGCTGGGGGGGCGTGGGGTGGGGAAGGCCCCAGCATGATTCCCAGTGCACCCGGAAACAGACCAGAAGTACTTGTGGTCCACTTCTGGGCTCGCTGCTGAGCATGTGGAGGGCCCCCCTGCACTCCCGTGGGACACTCTATCCACCCCAGCATTACAGTGTTCACAAGCCACGCTGGCACCTTGAGGTATGTAGAAAAAACATTTAAAGCTGTGTCTGTCTGAATCGCCGATTCTCCAAATTGTCATCAAATCTTCAGATTCGGATTTGGCCGAATCGAATTGGGGACAGTGATCCAAATCCACATATTGAATCACTGTCCCTCATTTGGGCCGAATCAAAATCAAATAGGGCCCGCTTCGCACATCCCTATGCACAATCGTTACAGTGTTTGTCTCTGATTTTTACCGTCCTTCTGCCATGTAAGTGAAACCACAGTCCTGAAAATCGGCTTATAACTACATGTTTTTAACAACATTGACTAGGTTTTCAGGATTCTATTTACAAGATTTCACAATTTACACTTCTCTGGTATAAAAGTCGGTGATATACTGTGCATACTTTGTACCCTTTAGTTAAGGCTTCTGAAAATAATTTAAGATTTCTCACGTTAGGTATCCAAAAGAGGCCAGATTATCTTCCCCCTCCCACTGCTTCCGAGTGGTGAGCAGCTGCCCTTGAACATTTTTAAAACATCTCAGATTTTCAGAATTCACTAGTGATTTTGTGGAAATGCTGGCTTATTTTGAAACCACTCTGTTTTGTAGCTTATTTTGACATCAGTATTTTCAGAGCTGTGCATCTGCCAGCCTAGAACTGTGCCATTTTTGAATGATCAGAAGGCAAATATTTCTGAAACATCTAAATTAGCAAGACAGTACTTGCTGTTCTCTGAGTTAAGAGCTTTCCCTGATATTCCTGACATGCAATTTAGAAATGCAGGTTTGGTTTGGTCCCTGTCCTATTGTGCCACCATTTCTCTCCAAACAAAGGCATGATTATATCAGTTAGTGTCATGTGTCAACAGCATAAAAGCAGCCTAAGGATTGTAGGCTCTGCATTGCAGCAGCTTCTTTCCATTTTTGTAGAGTGCAGCTTGTATTAGTGATAGCAACTTAGCAGCAATAAACCTATTCAGCTGAATCCATGCCATTGTTCAAAGGAAGAGGTAGTTCTTGGAAACCTTGAGCTGTCATATTAATTATAACAGACCAAATTATCCTTATTGTAATTACACCCACAATTAAATTTGTACTAGTTTTCTGTGCTAACCTAAAGATAAATGTTTGGATAAATCAACTAAGAAGTCTTATATTTATTTATTTGGGTTTTTTTAAGTGACATCACCATGAGGTATAAGGAGATAAGACGACAAAAGCAAGAACACAGACATGAAAAGGACAGATGCTTAAGCAACGGTGATAGACGTTCTCCAATACTGGATGAACAGAGTGGGAACGAACTGAGAGAAGGAAAACTTTGAACTTGAGCAGCAGGCAAGAGGTAGAAGCTACCTGTCATGCTCAAGTTGACCTGTTTTGACGCTTTCAGTCTTGTCTTAGTTTGTAACTTTCATTGTTTTCCAACATGTGACAACCCTCTTGGAGAAGATGCCGCCTTGACCCCCTGATCTTATGTCTAGTCAGTTGAAGAAAATCTGCAGTAGACAGACATTGGAACCAACCCTGTTGCAACAAGAAGGGATCTTTGGTCAAATGTGTTTTAAGTATATATCTGTCTCTCTTGGAAAACCAAGAATCTTGGTGTGGGTGGCTTTTAAACCAAGGGCAAAGGGAATCCTGTGACCCTGTTTTTGGTAAACCATGATATTTCCGTTTTAACAATGTTCGGAGCATTAGGAGCATTCATCCTATGGAATGCTTATACAGGTAAATAAGTTGCATTTCTGCTGAAACTTTTGATCTGTGGAGTAAAAACTATGTAATGTTAGTTTCATTTGTTAGTTAGCAGGACTTCAGAGACTGAACTTACCGGAAAGCGTGAGAACAAGTTGCATAACTTGCACAGAATATGATACAGTCCACTACTGTTACAGCTCCCACAGTGCTGAGTTGGCTCTCTTTCTCAAAGCCGGCTTATATTACTGTGGGCCAACTGATGACTGATTTCTATTACCTCCCAACTCTGATTATACAGAAAACTGCTACTCTTAGATCTTTTTTTATCCTGGTCATCTCTCAGCACAGCTTCCTTCTTTAAACTTTAGTTAACCTGCTTTTCATTAACCTGATGGAGTAAAAACAAGCTGAAAACTGGTAGTTACTTTCCCTCAAGGTATTCAGTTATTTTATTTGCCTTATTCTTAAACATGACTTTTCTTCACTTGCTGTGCAAGGCAGGTTAAGTTCTAAACTGTTTCATTCCTTCCCAAGTAAGCTTCAAACTTACAGCAGCCCTAAGCAAACTGGAAAAGATCTGCCTTTGCACAATAAGCTTGGTAACATTTAGGTTCCCTGAGTGGGCCTGACTTGATCACTGATGCTCTGTCACTTTGTCATGTATCATGAGAGAACCTCATACCTGGTTATCTGGCATTCTTGCCAATTACTAAGCATCTTGGAACAAAATGGGACACCTGTGGTTCATTTGCAGGGTTATTCTTCCCAAACATAGTTGTAACCCGTTACCCTAATATCAGTGGTTCCTAAGATAAGGATTGTGAGTATAGATAAGGTAAGTGCCACTAGCCAGCCCTACAGTTCTTGTTATAGCAGTCAGGCTCAGATTAGAAGTGGGGTCACAGCTGAAGAAGATTGAGAGCGGCTGCTCTAGATAATCCAGCTGGCCTCTAACATAACTGACTTTACTTGAACCATATAACAGACTAACTTGACTTGAAAGACAGAGACACATTTTTCCTGAAATACATCAAATTAATCTGGCTCTTAAACACCACTTGAGGCATTACTTTTCCAGAGTAGTGTTCTGTCCAGCAAAACATAAATATGGAACCAATAAAAGCTGAAGATTGAAAGAACTGTAGCCTGACTTTCAAAAGTAGCAGGAGACTCATGCCAAAGCTGCTGCCTGCAGCAAACCTGCACACAAATCTGAGTCATTTTGGTCTCATACTTGAATAGCACACTGTCCAAACTTCTCCCATGTTTACAGAGCAGTGAAATATTTTCTAATCCAAAACAATGGGTCCTGGCAAACATGATGTGATTTAACTTAAAATTTTAATGTAGGAATACATTGAATGTGCTCAACAAATGAAGCAAGGGTTCAGAGCCAAGGAGGCAGAAATGATGGAGGCTGTCTTTCCTGCTGACCAGTAGAGGCAGAGGAGGTTGATCTGTATGAAAGGTCACACAAGGCTTCTTCCTTGAGTGTGCAGACTGCACTATTTATAGTCCTCGAATGGCTGCTGTTAAAACCTTAGGATTTATCTGCTGTAATTTAATGGAGAAAGTTATGACTGTATAACTAGATGTTAACGAATTCTTAAGAAATGGGCAGATGCTGAGTTGAGCTGGTCACTTGTTTCATAGCCCTTTTCTACCCTTGAGTAATTTTTAAACTTGTTCAGATTTATTTATACCAGTCTTATGAACTCTTGACTGACTGTTTTAGAGGTGGTACTTAGTGTACGTGTCTTTGTGAGGTCCCAACTGAGCCAGGATCACGTAAATACATTTCCATTTATGAGTTGTTCGAGTTGACCAATCCGTCTTCTTCTTTTTTTATTATTTTACTTGCGGGAGGGGAGAGCTAAAAATGTCCACATCTGTTTCATAATTCTGATGATAAAAGTAGAATTCCACCTCTTCCTCCTCCCTGAGGACTCATTTGTGTAAATTTGAGGTGTTTGTGGAAAATACCAATTTTCTAATAATTCTGAAACTGACCTACTGTACAAAGCACTAATTTGTGTCCATCTACATCCATTTAAACAAGAGTTTACCGTTAACCTGAATAACTGAACAAATGTAATAAAACAACAAATGTTTGCTGGTGTGTTCTTTGGTACAATCTGTGTCAGCGTGTTGTTTCTGATCACTGGTCATGGGAGATGGCACTTAGTATGTATTCCTGTAAAACAGGAGTGCTTTTGAAAATGCCCATGTACAGAAGGGTAAGCTGGAGAAGCAGTCCCTAATGCAACAAACTTGTCCAAATAACTTTCATGGCCGTTTTTATCTTTTTAAGGTTTGAAGTCCCTTCACCCTTCTTAAAATTGTTTTTTTCATGTTGGAGTTAAGCTTATGAAATGGCTCTGAATTGCAAGTGTGATCTTTATAACCAGAAGGTGAAACTGCTTGGGCTTTTCACAACAAACTTAACTTCACATTTTCATTATTCCTGGGAGGTCTTGCATTGCTGAAGATCTGTAGCCATTGCAATCTAACCTGCTTTTAGAAATCCACTCCTGAATGCTTCGATTCACCACTGTTTGAGGCTGCTTCAAAGGAGTAGGCAGGTATGGAACGGAAGAAGGAATACGGTTGGACCTGACCGGGAAGGCTGTCTAAAGGTAAGTGGATGTATGGAAAGAACTGCGGCTTTGTCCCCTACTGGAGATATGAAGTGTGCTCTGTTTTGTAACTCCTAAGCTTTAACCTCTGTCTCCTTAACTTTAGCCTTCTGGTGTATTTTCCTTGTCTAGTAATGCACTGTGACTTGTTCAGGAAATTTTACCTAGGATAAGTTTCTAGTTATGGGGTAGAAACAATGCAGGGTTGGGTAAGAGTACTTGGGCACAGCCTATGCTAGCATTAGGAGTGACCTGATGCTCTTGATTCTTCTGCTTCTGAGGCTGCCTCTTTATATTTTGCAGGCAGCCTGGTAACTGGTGTGAATGCAGGGGCTCACCTCTTTTTAATTGCAGTAGTTGTTCCAGATTGTGAGGTGTCACACAGATCACCACCTGGTTTCCCTAAAGACACCACCTGTTGGGGCTTTCACTGCCAACTGTTGGCATCTCTCTGATCTAGTAGAAATCTGTAACTTTCAAACAGAACTGTGAACACTTGTTCTTCTTGCCATTTCTCTCAAGTGCTTCACTGCCCTATATTCCTCTCTTGCCAATGCTCCAATCACCTTGATAAAGATTTGCAGCACCTTGTTAGGAGGTTTCTGCTCAGATACTGTCAAATTAGAAATCCAGATTCAACCAGTGGAATTGTGGTGGATTTTCCATCTCAAAGCCTCAAATCAAAATAGGATGCCTCTGGCTTAGTTAGCTGGGATCAATATTGGAGTAATTCAGTGAAGTTCTATTATGTTAGGGACCAGATAAAGATCTAATGGTCAGACTGATTGCCATATTTGGGTCAGGGAGGATTTCTATCCCATGGTCAGATTGGTATGGACTGTGGAGGGTTTTGCCTTCCACTCCAGAGGCTGGGGGATGGCCCTCTTCCAGGGATCCCTTGAGTGTGTTTTAACAAAGTTTGGAGCAGCAAAATGTTGGCTGCTGTGGTCCTACTGCTTTAGCTGTGGCTGATTAGAGTGGTATATCTTGAGTTCGTTTGGGTGGATTATGTAATTTTGCTAAGAGGTGAGACAATGAATTTATATAGGATGGTTTTAATAGGGATGATCCTGCCTCAGGCAGACAGGGAGTTGGACTAGATGACCTCTGGAGTTCCCTTCCCGTCCTATTTCCCTATGAGTTTATGATCTCTCCTGGCTCTAGAATCTAAAATGTGAATTTGGGCCTTTATTCTCAGTCAGATGCATATTCTGCTTTCTTCTGCCTGAGGGCCTGTGAAAGGCATGCTCTGATACAGGGGCATCAAACTCATCTGGTCCCAGGGCTGGACAAGTCTCTTGGAATTGGTCTGTGGGCCGGATTGGACCCTCAGGCTGGCCCTGTATTCTAGATCCAGCAGGTGCCCTGGAGCAGCTGGACTGGGCTCCACGTGGAGCGCAGTTCTGCTTTGACCACTCGGCTGTGCTGCATACAACAGCCACTTTACCTCTCCAGGACGCAAGCTGGAGTGGGTGCTGCATGGGGCCATCTAGTGTACCCTGAATGCTGTCTTTGGGTCACTCTGAAACCCATGGGCAGCTCCAAGGGCTGCATGATCTGGGTCCACAGACCAGATCTGGCCTATGTGCTGTATGTTTGACACCCTTGTTCTAATACCATCTGGGCATCCAGCATGCCTTCTGCAGTGGACACTGCAAAACATCTTGTCTTGCCATGTCTCCCACTCCTGTTTTTCTTTTTTTGGCAAGATGAAAACACTGCCTTGCACTCCTGAACTGGATTAACACCCAAACTAGATTGGACACCTCAAATAAATGCACTGTTTGTTCCCACTGGCTTGCTGGGCAGGCATCAGTGCATGCCAATGCCCAGGAAAGGAGCGACTGGAGCCTCATCACCATATACACCCTATAAATGGAATCCCTGAACTTTCCTCCAACTTCTTCTATCTGCCTCCTACCCTGGTGAAGATTTGTTTTAATCTTATTTAAGATTATTTAAGCATAAATGAATGTAACAGGAAATTTATTGATACTCAGTCCTGCTTAGCACCCCAGCCCATGCTGAGTTTAGTATGGACATGCTGCCAGTTTTAATATTTTCAGAATTTATACTGTTGATACAAAAGCAAGGTAACATGTAAGGGCTGGTTCCCCATGAATTATTGTTCTCGTTTAAAATTCTCTTGCCTTGGAAAATATTTCTGTTTTGTGGCAATTTTCCAGGAAAGCAGATCCATGCTCCAAAGTTTGTGCCGTCTCAAGTTGATACCGCACAGGTAATGGTGTGGGAAGAGTCAAACAACAGATGCACTGTGGGTTTGCAGGCCATTAATGCATGTAGAGCCAGTAGAAGTTTTACAGTCTGCCAGATCTCTTGGCCTGTACCTAATCTGTGCCCTGCCAGTGCACGATTACATACTCATGTATAACTAACCTGGGGTTTTCCATTATGGTTGAGGTGCTGTTCTTGGAATTTAAACCTGCCTGTTGCTTTGGAGTTTCAGTTCTTGTTAATTTCAGGCAGAGTCAGCTGTAGTGTGTGCTAGCGGCTGGGTAGTGGTGTCACCATGTCTTCAGCTGACAGCAATCATCCTAGCTTAAATGATGAGAGAATGCAAAGAAATTGCTTTTTTTTTTTTACAATGTCTTGGAAACATCAGCCATCTTTTTTCTGTGTTTTGAGGAAGGAAAGGCAGGAAACAGCTGACATTTGCAACATCTTTGGATAAAAACTTTGTGTCCCTCCTAAAAAAAACAAAAAAACAAAAAAAACAAAAACAAAAAAAACCAAACCAAACAAACAAACAAAACCCCCCCCCTGTAATATCCTCCTGCTTTTGCTGGTCCAGTGCAGTACGGTGCTTGAAGCCTGTTTGCATGCAGGTGCCCTTTCTAGGCATGCATTCCAGTCACCAATCAGAAGCTTCTAAAGGGTTTGCATTTAGGCCCTAGTACAGAAGACTGCATCTTGTAATAAGCTTCCAAGAAGACAAAAGATCAGTCCTGCAGGCAAGTACAATTTGAAGAATATCATCTTTGTATCCAGTTCAGTATGCCTCAGTGCACCTATTAAAAGGGGACAGTTGCCTGGAAATGCAGGGGCATGGTGAAATCTGCAAGTTTGCAGATTGCACCAAATTATTCTAAGTCAAGTCCCAATCTGATGGAGAGGAACTGCAGAAAGGTTCACCAAGATAAGTGAGCAGAAAAATGGCAGATGAACTTTAATGTCAGTAAGTACAAGGTAATGCATCTAGAGAAAAATAACCTCAACTATATGTATACAATGTTAGGTTTTGAACCAGCTGTTATTACTCAGGAAAGGGACCTTGGAGCATTGTGTCCTCTAAAAATGTCAGCTCATTGAACTGACTCAGAAAAGCCAGTAAAATGTTGGGCATCGTTAAGAAGAGAATTGAAAAAACAGAGAACATCATGCCACTGTACAAATTAATGGCGCACCCATGTCTTGAATATTGTGTGCAGTTCTGGTCCCCACATCTCAAAAAGGATGTAGTAGAATTGGAGAAAGTACAGAAAAGGGCAACCAAAATGATCAGGGGAATATAGAAACTACAAAGGGTAGAATTTGATTTTGGAAAGGAGAAGGTAGGGGATATGAGAGAGATCTATAAAATCACAAAGCATGTGGATCAAGTAAACAGGGAGCTGTTGTTCACTAACAAGTCCCACAATACTAGAACTAGGGGGAACCCTCTGAAATTAGCAGGAGACAGGTTTAAAACTTACAAGAGAGTACTTGCTTTATGCAACATGTTAACTTGTGGAATTCATGGCCACAGGAAGTAGTAGAAGCAGATACCATAGCCAGGTTCAAAAAATGGACTCGACAAACTCATGGATGATCGATCTATTAATGGATATTGAACAGAATGGAGATGTTTCCTCTGCCATTTCTAACGATGGTGGATTCCAGGGAAGGTAATGAATAGGGGATAGATCACTAGATCTATCCAGTTAATGCTCTGTCTGTATAGCATCCACTTCTGCTGCTGTTGGAGAAAGGGTACTGGGCTAGATGAACCATTGATCTGAATCAGTTTGGCACTTATGTTCTTACAGTTCAGTTTAACTCCCTTCTAGTCAAGTCAGTCCCAAGGCCACTGCAACCGTTTCATAGTTTCTAGGGTCAGAAGGGACCTGAACAGAT